AGTCAAGAAAATCAGATCTTTCTATGAGGCTTGTTAAAATATTTCCCTTTCCCCAAGACAATCATTTTCAACTTTGTTAGCTATTTTTTTTTTTTTTTGGCCAAGGATTGACTTCATAACTCTGAAAATCATGCTCATATTGCTATTGTCATTCTTAAGAATTTAGCTCTAATTCACTCCCTCACCTCTATTCACCCAAATCCTGCACATCCACATATGAGTATTTCCTGTCTTCATATTCCCCAATTTATTATTAATAAATAAACTATTTATAGACAATGTTGGTGGTGAGAGCAAGATTCAGTGTTTATGTTACTGGTACATCACGTCTGAGCCACATAATATATAATTATATAATTATTGATTTTCATTTTCATATTTGTTTGGTTGTTTCTTAAACTTTTTTCTTTCTACTAAAATTTAAGTTTCATGTCTGTTTCTTTACTACTATATCCCCTAGGACCTAGAACAGTGTCAGAAACATCAAAAGTGCATAATATGCATTTATTCAATACCTATTATGTGCCTGGTCTTACATCTAGGGTCTTGTAAATATCTTCATCATGGCTTCTTTCAAACTACCAACACAATGTCACTAAAAACAGAGTTAGGAATAAATTCACAAAATCAGCTCTTAGAATTTAAGTTGGCCATTTAAGTTATTAAAGAATTAAGTTGGCCGTTTAAGTACTTAAATGGAATTTAAGTACACCATTGGTTGAAATTCAGTCACCTCAATTTCTCTCTGTTCCCTTCCTCTTCCCTGCTACAGAACTCCTAGGGATCCCAAGAACATAAGTTGAGAATCCACTGGTGAGTATGACACCTTTAGAGTATAGATGGGAGCACTGAGACCTAGAGAGGTGAATGAACCCAGGTCTCCTAATGCCTATTCCCATTCTCTTTCCATTGCATTATACAACCAATAGTCTAATTAGTCTCTCATTTTTCTGCTTCCAATTTCCCCATCCTATTCCATTGATATTCTGCAAACAGATTTGGTCCTAAGAAACTGCTTTCAACCGCAGCAGGCCCCTATTTCACTATAGAACCTTCTACAGCTCCCACATAAGTCTTTAAGATCAAGTCTAGGCATCTTGGTCTTCTTTTCAAGACCCTCCACAACCTGGTTTAGCTTTTTCTTCTCCTGCCTTTCTAAATATACACCAAGCTAGAGTCCAACTGACTCTCCCTGTTCATCAGAATCATTCTTGCCTTTGATTGCCTGTGGACTTTGGCTCTTTCCCTACCACTTACCTGGAATTTTTCCCCATCCTCTTTGTCTGTCCAATGCTAACCAAATCTCACATCCAAGCCCACACTCCAGCTCCTCTAGAAAGCTTTCCTAAACCACTGAAGTCCATAGGGATTGCTACCACCTCTGAAATCCCATTGCACAAAAGAGTTTCTGCCATTCCTTTGTCCCTTAATATGTAAGGTCTGTTATTGTTAGTTTTCTTCTAAACCCTCATGTTTATCTTTCTATGTATCTTTAGGTTGATGTTTATATGTGTATTTCTCTGTATATGTATGTTATATCTGTGTTTTTATTTAAATGTTCATATGCTTATGTGCATGTATTATCTGCCTATGTCCAGATTGAGTGTATGAATCTGTGTTTCATTGCTTGTTTTCTCAGGTCTATGTGCAAGTCTATGTATATTTGTGTGTTTGCCTGAATATTTTGTGTGCCTGTGTCCCATGTGCTTACATGTCTCTGTGTGTATATTTTGTGTATTGTGCATCAATGTGCTCATGTTTGTGCTTAAGGCCATATTATATACATATGTATAGCTATACGCAAAAGTGTGACCATATGTATCTGTACATTTATGTTTATTTGTGGTATTTATAGGTGTGTGTGTGTGGGTGGGTGTGGGTGTGTGTGTGTCCTTGAGCAGGGCCTGTGTGGATTTCCTCTTTGTACCACTGCTTCCCTCCAGCTCAGTAAGCCCAAGGTGCACATACACACAGGAGGGTCTCAAATAATGTTTACACATTGATAAATTTCTCCAATCTGACCTTTCAACCTTTGTCTAGAAAGATGGCCTATGGGGGTAGAAATAGACGTACAGTCACAGTGACCTCTGAATACTGGACCTCAAAGGGTGTGAGTCATTTTCTCTGCTGCTCACCCACAACCTGTGAACTCTTACCACATGCACGCTATCATCTCATGAAGCACTGAGTTTGAAAATAAGAAAAAGGTGGACTCCCTGAATTAAAGTAACTACCCATCTCTCTCCTCTTCAACCACTTCATCTTTTCTGGCTCATGCCCTGGTGCATGGAGGATCAAAGGTACAATTTTTTGAAACACCAACTTGGATGGTAAGTTGTACTTCTGTCATTTATCAGTTGTGTGACCATGGGCAGGTTCCACAGTACCTCCAGATCTCAGTTCTCTCAATAAGGAAAGGTTATTCATAATGCCTTCCTTGTGAGGTAAGGCCTAGGGATAATGTGCACAACACAGAGCAGGAGTTCTACAAATGGTAGTTTTAGTATCACTTTACCTGGGAAGCCTTCCCACGCTACTATTGCCTTCACTAAATACTGCCCAAACCAGAAGTTTTACAGTTAAGTTAAGAATTCACCTTGTATTAGTGTGTTCATATGTGTTTGTTTTTCCTTTACACTAAAATCTCACTTATGCAGGGACCATATCTAACATTTCTTTTCTCTCCCTCACAACATCCATAGAAAATCTGGAACTGTTGTAGAAGTGGTCATTAAAGGTATCAATGAAGCAGAATAGTGTGTTACTTAACAGTATCATTTCTGGAGGCACATAGATAGGAGTTTGAATCTTGTCTAGGCACCCTCTATACAAGTAAGCGATTTCACTATTCTGGGTTTTAGACACATTTGTAAAACGGAGTTTTATTGAATTCATTCATTCAACAAATATTTATTGAGTGTCTTATATGTTAGGCACTGGAAATACAACAATGAACAGGACATACAAAAATTCCTGCCTTCAGAAGCCTTACACTCCAGTCTTACATTCTGGAGATGGAAAACAAACAAGTAAGACAGTAAATATACAATATGTCAAGTAGTGGTGGGCTCTACAACGAAAAAGAAAAGTAGGGTAAGGGAGTACAGTGTGGTAGAGAGAGATACAAGTGTACATACAATAATACCCACCCGAGGGGTTGCAAGGGAAATAACCCATGCAAGGTGCTTAATTCAGTGACTGGAAGAGTAAAAGATTTTAAATAGCAACTATCGTTATATAGTTGTTAGTGTATGTATAGTATAGTTTGATTTTTATAAATCTGAGATGATACAAGCATTAAGTCTAATTATGTTAATGTTACAATTAGGGAAGCTGAGGTTCAGAGATATTTGACTTGTTCAAGGCCTCAGAATGAAGTAGACACAGAGCCAGGCTCACTTCCAGGTTTCTGACTTCTCGTCCAATTCTTTTACTAATCAAGAGGGCTACTGAGCCTACTGCAAGACTGGAAGTCTTTCCCAGTCTTGAAGTAATGTTGTGCATACTCCCCAGGACATTTCTTTATCTTCAGATCCAGGAGGTCCTAACAAAATGCAAGGGGCAGCTCAAAATATACACAATCACCTGGCCAGGCAAAAATTGACACCAGTTCTGTAGGCTTTTTAGTGGGGAAGGGGAGGGGTGTGTGTGTGTTGGGGGTGGTGGTGGTGGTAGTGGTGATAGGGTGTTGGTTGAAAAATATCAAAGGAAGGTTCTCCAAAGTTCAGGGTTTCCTGAGTGAGAATCCCCTTGGGAAAAAATGGCTAAAAGTTCCAGTGAGATGGAATGAGTGCAGTACTCAAAAAACAAGGAACAACCAGTCAAGGGGGATTGGGCCCTAGAGGCAGAGGTGATTGATAGAATTTCATGTAATAACGGGTCCTGAAATGCTGGAATGTCTCCTTAGCCCGTGCAAGCTCCAAATCATCTGTATGCAGCCACCCCTTGGCAAGTATGTTTCTTTATATTCCCACTCCCTATCTCTGCACAAACTCCTCCCTCCCCTGACCAAGGCCTTTCCTATCCCTCCAATCAAAAAGTAAACTAAGCTTAGATGCTACTTACAGTGCAGTATGAATTTTTTGGATGTATTTGTGCTTTTGAAAGTGCTTATAGTTTCAAAGCTTAGTAGACAAAGGGCAGTGCCAAACCTAGTTAGACTGCTGATGAAATTACAGTCACTCTGGGGCCTGTGAAAAGGAGCAATTTCTGGAGCAGTTGAGCTTTGCTAGGAGGCATAATATCACTCTATTGTAGGTTAAGGGCTTGTACCAATTGGAAGTCAATGAAAAATTTGACCTAATAGAGCATACTACTAATGGGCTGCTGCACTGGAGGTTGGGCTTAACTTTCCCTTAAAAGAAGTAAATAATAAATAAATTCCTTATGAAAAAGCATAGAGAATATTAATGAAAATGAATTCTCCCTTACCACCAGAGAGGTGGAGCCATTGTAGAAAGTGATTCAGAGCTTCCCCAATATGAGATATGAGGCATATTCACCCATAACAGCCTTATCCATTGGCTTGCCAATTATTCAAGCTTTGATGTGTAGAAAGCCCTTTAATACACTAAGCTGTTGTACTCTTAAGCCCAAAGGCACACCAGACCCAACACCCTGTCCGTTTGCATAGGCTACACAGGCAAGGGTTAACAGTACAACTGATGAAAATTGGATAGGCCAGCAAAGTTGTTTCCTTCTCCCTGGGCTCACCACAAAGGGAAACACTCCCATACTGAAGTGAGAAGACTCATCCCAAAGGTCACCCCCACAACCTCTGAGTCTTGTGGAGGAGACCCAAAATAAATACAGCCTGGGAGATCAAAGACCAGAGAGCCCCATTGGCTCCAGGAAAAGTCAAGTCAATACCCTAGCAGGGGAGAAGAATTGCTTCACTCATCCTGGAACCTCCAACGCCAGGAAAGTGGGGGAAGGGGGACACCCCACATGACCTGTGCTGAAATAGGGAAGGAAGGGGAATGTGTGATGGGACTAGGAGTTTGAGTGAGAGATATAGGGAAGGAGGGGAAGTAAACACACACAGACACTGGTGGCCACCAGAAGTTTGAGCCTCTTTGGTAGCTGGAGGCTGGAAGAAAGGACAGAAATGGCTCTGGCTGTGATGGGGATCTTACTGGGCCTGCTACTCCTGGGGCACCTAACAGTGGACACTTATGGTAAGGCAGAAAGTGGGGTCCTGGCTGCCATTGCTGGCTTAGGCAAAAGGCTAGGGGGTCGGTGTTTAATGTCTACTAAGGAAAGCCTATTCCTGTTGGGCAGGTGAGTGTTCTCAACTAAACTCTGCAGGTTCTCTCAGCCTTGAGCAAAAGGGACTGACGTAGTTGAAGTCTGCTGAAGAAGTCAGAAGGCAAGTTTGGGCAGAAATTGAAAAAGGATTTTTCTCTTGGAAAACATCTGCATGATTTTCTAGGGCTTGTATCTCAGGGGCATCAAGAAGGCTCCCAGTGACACCCGAATTTTTCCTCCATCTGTGTCTCTCATCTAAAATTCTACCATTAGACTTAACCCCTCTGCTTCCAAGCTTTGGTCTCTGTTAAAATATATAGCCCCTGAAGAAGGAGTGTTTTCTAAGAGTTGGATAGGATTGTAGAAGTAACCTATACCACCCTTCATTGTCATGAATAAGTGCTCAGAAACATTCAGTAGTGATTGAGATTTCACCGTTCACTACCTCCGCAGACCATCTAGTCTATCCAGGAGCAGCTCCAACTGTTAGAAAGTTATTATTTGTGTTGAACTAAATTCAGTTCCCTCTGACTTCCATCCAAAAGCCCCAGCTTTGCTTCTTGGGGCTACACAGAACATAGATACTTCCTTGCCCTGTGATAGCCCTTCAAAGGCCTGAAGACAAGTACTATATCTCTTTGACTCTTCTCTCCTCCAAGCTGAACAGCTCCAGCTTTTTCAACTGGTCTTCATAGGACTCGGTTTTTTACACATTCCTGGGCTAACTCACCTCCCTATAGACATGGCTCAATTTGTCTGGGCTATTTATGGGTTGGATACAAATCCCAAAGGAGGATGGACTATTCCATAGTCGCATTATTTCCTTGGAACTTGGGAAGCTCCATCCTCATTTACACTCCTGAGAAGTGAGATGGATTTTCAGGAAACTGAACCTGGGTAACAGCTAAGTGAGATCCAATATAGGGTAAAGGGGTTTTTTTCTGCTTCCCTATCATCCCTAGAGAAAAAGGCTGGATAGGTGTTAGTTTGGTGTCACTTGTGAGGTCAGAAATAATCCACCTTTCCATAGCTGACTCTGATTAGATTACCCTATCCTGGGGCTCTGTGACCCATCAGACTCTGGAACCTCAGAGTTAGAAAAGACTCTGAATTAAGTCAACCAAAAGAAAAAATAATTTGCCCCCAAGCCAAAGAGCATTAGTGGCAGAGTTAATACTCCTGAAAAAATATTTTTCTTTCTATAACTACCGTATTTCCATTCTCTAGTAAGCTTTATAATGTATCTCTCTACCTTCTCCAAGTCTGTTGGTGTGAGCTAGGGCTCAAGCCTGGGGCTTGAGGGAGCATTTTAGAAATGTTAAATTTAAATCCTGTGTTTGTGTGCGTGTGTGTGTGCGTGTGTGTGTGTGTGTGTGTGTGTGTGTGTGTGAGAGAGAGAGAGAGAGAGAGAGAGAGAGAGGAGAGAGTACTCATGTGTCTTGTTCCTTCCCCAGCCTATGAGCTTTTCTAGACCTGGAAGCAGGCCTTCCATTTGTATATAGAATCTTACACTATAGACCTGAGGCTCAGGTTATGCTGAGCTGTAAATAATACCTTCCTTCTCCCTGGACCTCATTGTTCCCAGCCCATCTGTACAGTGAAGAGGTTGACTTGACTGGCCTCAAAGGGGTTTCTCAACTGGACAGCTCTGTGGGACTGCAACTTCACTGCTAAAAAGCCTTTAGGGGCCAGAATAAGTTGCTAGCCTCTTCCTGTGGGGCTAAGAGATATGTCAAGATAATCAAAATTTTAAAAGTTCTAATCTTCACATTTTATACACATTTTAAACATTTCAGAAACATTTTATAAACATCTATTATATAAGCTAATCCTCTATCCAGGAGGCATTCCAGGAAAGGGAGAGAACCCAGTCATGTGGGGGAATGAGATAGAGACATGGAAAATGTCACCCTCTTTGTGATGACGGGAGGAAGGGGATTCAGAAAGAGACCTAGAATGGGTCTTATAAAGGAGCACACACCTAGTAAATTCAGCCTTTCTTTTCTTCAGTGCCATTACACAGGCGTCAGACATTTGCTTTTATAAGACTGGTACCCAGGACCACAATAAGCTCAATACTGTTCCCTCTTTCTCAAGCCAAATCCTCCCCCAACAAAGTTCCTTGAGTCGGTATCCAGCGCTGGTCTTTCCCCTGAAGAAGGCCAATATTTGAAGGAAATACAAACATTTCCTGAGGGAGGAGAGCAAAGCTCAGGCATTATGGGAAAGATTTTTCAGAAAGCAGCTGGCAGATGGGGGCATATTTTTTTTCAGACAATCATGGGATAATATCTAACCCTGAGATAACATCCAGAAGCCATGTCAGGTAGGCCCAAGTAAGAGGTTGCTGGTTTCTATTGTGACTGATGGTTTAATAATTTAAGAAGGTAAGAAAGCAGTGTGGCTTCTGAAAACCTGTATTCTAGGCCTCTAGGCCTAGCTTTGACCTTGCTATCCATGTGACTTTGAGTAAGCATCTTCCTATCTCTGGGTTTCAGCTTACTCATATGTACCATAAGGGAATGTAACTAAGTGATTTCTAAAAGCTCTTCCAGCTATGCCATTCCAGAAGACTCCAAATTCTATCCTCTTTTGTACCTCAACCCCTGTTATACCAAGTGGCTTGCCATTTGGTGGTTTTAAGGTATCCATAATGGGCACAGTGTTCTGCCAGGAGGTGGGGGGTTTCCCGAAATGGATTTTTCATACCCAATCTTCCAGGAAAACCAGGAGTATTGTTTAATTTGGCCAACATTTTACATTGGTTGCTAAGACAGCCCTGTTATTGGAGACACAGGCTGTTGTTTCCTCTCTGGCTGCCCTACAACCCACAGACAACCTAGTACCTGCCCATAAGTCAGTAGATTGTCTCAGACAGGAGAGAGTGGTTCCTTACCTTACCATATGATGACTTCTCCTTCATGTCAATATTAAATCTGACAACGTTCCAACCTAATGAATCTGTTTATCCAGGGAATGACATATTGAAGACTGCTATAGGATCGGAATAATTTAAGACAACTACAAGTTTCACTTAGGGCATGGGACAAGACTGACATTTATCCAGCACCCACTGAATGCCAGCCACATGCTAGGTGCTTTCACATGTATGAACTCATTTAACCTTCGCAATTATTCTCTATAGAATCTTTATTATTATTTCCACTTTACTGATACTGACCTGAAGTTCAGATAGGTTTGGTATTTTACCCAAGGTCACACAGAGAGATATGCGGTAAGGCAGACCTTGCGCTTACATCAGTGGTATTCCTACTACATCATACAGTCCTTCATTACCCTCCTGCTCTCATTAGGGGCTTCTACTTGATTCTAAGAAAATTACAAGGAAAGGTAGAAGGTAAAAGTCAGTGGTATTGTGGTTTACTTCACTTTGGAGATCAAATAACATGAGGAATAGTACAATGTCATTTTTCTTGTGATGCCCTGTACCTATAATCCAGTCACTATGCAACTAATGAAGCAGGAGGAGGAGGAGGAGATAAGAATAAGAAAAAGGAGAAGGAACAAAAAGGAACAGAAGCATAATGGAAGAAAGAGTGGAAGAAATAAAGGAGGAAGAAGGGAGAGGAAAAGAAAAATAAGTAAAAGGGGGAAAAACATGCCATTTTGGGAAGTCTAGTTACAAACTCTGTCCTATTCATTCTGAGACGGAGGAGTCAAGCCTGACCTACTTCCAGAAGTGATTTTCAAAACTGAGAAATTGAAACTAGCTAGCAATTTTTTTGATAGGCCACACTGAGCTTTGTGAGAATTTCCAGCAAATTCCCAGGGAGGGAAAACACAAGCCAGGCCTTGTAGCTCCCCTAAGGTCAGAAGGAAGACATGCATATGCATAGACAAAGGCATTTTCAACTGCTCCAGATGTCCTCACAGCAGAATGCTGCTTTGTTGCCCAAGAGGGGAATGTGAGAGTGCTTTTCAGAGAAGAGGAGGGACATTGGGAAAGTCCAGAGGAAGATTAATGGGAAATAGCCTATTAAACCAAGAGGCTTAGATAGTTTTCATGGGGTTTAACGATGGTATATTTGTGCTTGCATGTGGCCAAAAATATGCATGGGCATGTGTGTCGATGATAATGAAAAGCTACATCTGCAATCACATGGAGGTGTGAACTGTCTATAGCACAGTGAAACCTACTACCTGGTGAAAATTTACTGCCAGCTGGAACATATAATTATATAACTTCTATTTCTATTATAGTCTATTAGCACTGGACCACCTAAGATTAGAAGGGACCTTAAAGAGCAATGCTAAGACCCAAACAAAGCCTAGAACTTCCCCAGACAGCTTAATTCATCCATAGATAGCTCTGATTAATCACAAAGGCCATTGTAAGGCAAACCATCCCTTCTGCGATGTGGAAGGCAGAAAAGAATATCATAAAAAGAAATAGAATTAGGAAAATAGGGCTAACCAAAATCTGCCCCTCTTGTATTCCCATTTGTAGGTCTGCGTTCTGCTCTCTGCCAAATTTGAAGCATTCCAGGGAGTATGTAGTGGATCTAGCAACATGGACTTATATTTATTTATTCTTTTCTACTCAAAGGTTTTTTCTTGGGTAAAATTTGCTATTGATATTCTAAGAGTCCCTGGTGAGGGCACAGGCTAGAGGCTTGACTTTAGTATCTCTATTAACAGAAGCCATGATGCTGGACAGTACATTCTGGGAGTTAGAAAGCATACACTCAACCCATCCCAAAGATGTCATCTTCCATTTGCTTGACTGAATACTGGGAATTCTAGGCTCAATTAAAAGCTTTTGAATAAATATGACTGAATAGTAATATCTCATATCTTTGAAACCACCTCTCTTAGGAGAGACATGAATATATTGCCTAAATATACCCACCCCACACTCCTGGCCCCAGTTAAATAAAACAAAAAAATCTTCAAAGTAAGAGCTTATGGATGGAAAATTCTGATGGGAGGCAATGGTTGTTTCAACATCCCCACCTCCTTCCCCCACCCCCATCCCTACCCCTAAGTGTTTCCTTCTCAAGCACGCAAGGAGCAATCTCCCATTGCTTCTATCACCATCCCCACTACAGCCAGCTTCAGGATTTCACTCAGAACCTTTTCCTTTCTAGACCAAGAATGGATGCAATCTTTTCCCCCTCAGGATGAAATTTTCCTATGTATCCTTGCTAGGGACTAAGAGAAATCAAAAGGAAAATAAACAAAAGAAATCGGGGAAAAAAAGTCAGGTTTACAAAGTGCAGGTTTCAAATTTAACAATAACTAATGATTTTGTTAAACAGAAATGTATATCCAGACTTCTTCCTCTCACCTGGTTCTACCCTCAGTATTTCCTTTTTCCTGTCTTTCAGAGAACAGCTTAGGGTTGGGACCCCAGTCACTGAGTATTTCTAAGGGAACAAGAGAAAATAACAGGGCAGAGGGCCCTTTCTTGCTGATCTCAAAAGCCTACACTTTTCTCCAGGTGCATATTTACACAAAATGAAATAGTCCAGACCCAAATGCTTAGCATTTTTGTTTCCACATCTCTTTTGGAAAATGTGAAAAGAAATTTTTTTCATGGATTTGCAGAATGACAGAGTTGATAGAATATCTAGGGCATCTACCATCCAAACTCTCCACATTATAGATGAAGTAAATGAATCTTCCATGGTAGAAAGTTGACTTACCTAGGATCACCTCCATAGCAAGACAGTAACATAAAAAAGGGCTTGAAACTCATAAATCTAAACAATGTTAAAGGCTTTCATTCTGAAGACTGGTTCTGATTGACGAGAAGGCTGGCAAAGAGCAAAAGGGCACAGGTACACAAAAGTGTGATAGAAAGAAAGTTGAGTGTTTTTTCTCAGAAACCTTTTGAGGTCTGTCGCTGCCACCTTAGTTGCCAGATAGGTATGCAATCTACGTTTGCTTCTTTCCTCTGTTCTGCTTCTTCAGGCCGTCCCATCCTGGAAGTGCCAGAGAGCATAACAGGACCTTGGAAAGGGGATGTGAATATTCCTTGCACCTATGGCCCCCTGCAAGGCTACACCCAAGTCTTGGTGAAGTGGCTGGTACAACGTGGCTCAGACCCTGTCACCATCTTCCTACGTGACTCTTCTGGAGACCATATCCAGCAGGCAAAGTACCAGGGCCGCCTGCATGTGAACCAAAAGGTTCCAGGAGATGTATCCCTCCAATTGAGCACCCTGGAGATGGATGACCAGAGCCACTACACGTGTGAAGTCACCTGGCAGACTCCTGATGGCAACCAAGTAGTGAGAGATAAGATTACTGAGCTCCGTGTCCAGAAACGTGAGTCACTATGGGGGTAAGAAAGTACTGATAATCAATGAATCAATAGTGGATGTAATTCTAGAAACTCCTGAAAAACCCAGAGGTCTTTGTTTATCTATACAGAGGCTCTCCACAGGTATATGTGCTTATCAGAGAAAGTGGACAGGCAAAGAATTATTAGGGTTAGCATTCCCATGGTTAAATGTAAGAAGTGCTGGGAACGGTTCCTGACCTGCAAATCTGTATCCCTTCAAGTGTCCCAGAAATGCCAGCATCCATAGCCTAGTTACCCTGCTTGGGTTCTGCGATTTACAACTCAAAAATGAGTATATTTAATTTGTAGATAGATGCTGATAGAGAAGCTCTGGGGAAAGGGAGGCAGAGGTTAGCCAGGATAAGTTTGCTTGGTGGACAATTTTACAAAGGTCTGGCCCTGAAAACCCGCAACTGCAAAACTCAAAACTTGAGCCCCAGAACAAACTACATTATTTTTAAAGGTCAGTTGATTTTTACTTCCAAATATTCCAAAATCCCAGGTAATACCAAAAAGTACCTACCTTCAAAGGAAGCCATTTTGTTTGTATTACCCTTTCCTTCCTATTTCTTCCAAAGTCAGAAGCCCCCTTTAGTTCCAGTTGCAGATATATGCATGCCCTTATGCCCAACAAGAGTGATTCGGCCTTGTGGTCCCATATCCTTATGACTGCCCAGAGTTTACTGTCTTGTGTTTTCTTCACAGTCTCTGTCTCCAAGCCCACAGTGACAACTGGCAGCGGTTATGGCTTCACAGTGCCCCAGGGAATGAGGATTAGCCTTCAATGCCAGGCTCGGGGTTCTCCTCCCATCAGTTATATTTGGTATAAGGAACAGACTAATAACCAGGAACCCATCAAAGTAGCAACCTTAAGTACCTTACTTTTCAAGCCTGCGATGGTAGCTGACTCGGGCTCCTATTTCTGTACTGCCAAGGGCCGAGTTGGCTCTGAGCAGCACAGCGACATTGTGAAGTTTGTGGTCAAAGGTGAGTGGCCCTCTTTCCTGGTGAGCATCTTAACAGACCAGTTTGAACCAAAGACACTCAAAATGTGCCCTTATGCAAAAGAAGAATTGGGAGAACAGGGTCCCAAGCAGGCAATGGTTGTACAATCCCAAATAAAAAAAAAAATGGGACTGGGGACAACAGGGATAGAGACATTGCCCGCCATGCCATAGGTTAAGTAGATAAAGACAGTGAAGGAAAGAGTGAGATTTACTAGCACATTGTATTTGCCAGACACAAAGTACAAGAACTTGACACATATTTTCTCATTGAATCGCCACAACTGTCCCATGAGATAGTTATCATTACTTTTACTTTACAGAAGAGGAAATAGAGTCAGAAAGGGTAATCTACTTGCCCGTGGTCTCACAGCAAGGAAGTATAAATCTGGATTTGCACTCAAATTTCATGCTCTTTCTACTATGTCTGATTGTTTCTCATGGTTGAATCTATATTAGATCCTGGGCACCCTTCGAAAGCTGTTGTTTTTTGTTTGTTTGTGTGTTCTGTTTGTTTGGTCATTGTTTTGCTTGTTCGATTAGGCTTGATCTAATATATTTACATGCTTTCTTTTAACTTCCCTCCCCCACTTCATTGTAAAGCCAAATACAAGTTCTGGTTGAAGTATCCTTGAAGATGGGTTCTGGTTCATCAAGATTTGACTATTTCTTACAGCACTGTCCTGGGAGCACTACGAACTATGCATATAAACACTGTAAGCTGAGGCTTAAATGAAGAGTCCAGCAGTGATATGTCCAGATGAGTTTTCTTAGCTTTCAAGAGATATCCTTGGAAAGAAAGACACTCCAACAAGATTACCATTGCCCAAAACATGTTGGAAACTAACTGATTTTAGGGAATTGCCCTCAGAACCATCTGAAAATTATTGTCTTCTGAGGATAGATCTGTATAAGGAGAGGACGTAAAGCTAGCCCAAATGGCTTATTACCATTTGGGCTAGGAGACTGATGTTGGTTTGAGACTCTTGTGTTTGCCTGGAGGAATTTGTTTCCCAAAGTTAAGCTGTAGTGAGGATGTGTGTGCTGTAGATCATGGTTTGTTAGTTTTGGGAGGAACAAGAGTGGTCCACCCTGAAACAGTTATATGAACAGTGTCCCAGTTCTCTAAGAGCTGACAGTTTGGTCAAGCAGAGAGGGCAGGGCATGACCAGAAAGCCCAAGAATGCATACTTCATAAAGAGACTAACTGAACATTCTCGCCTTTCTGTGAGTTACTTCTCAGACCATCTAGATAAGAACTTGCTCACAGTAAACCCGCCTGCCTATTCCTTCTCACAGTCAATGCTTATCACAGTGCTGTTAAGCAGTGCTCGCCATTGCCCCCTACTGATAGATAAGAAAACTGAGGCTCAGGGAAGTTATTCTCAGCCTTCCACTCTTCCCTGCTCTGTGAGCCAAGGTAATCTTTCCTGGCTACCTCTACCTGCCTCCCTGTCCAGCCAACCTTGTCCCCTGAGTCTGACTCCCTGTTTCACCTCTGCCCTATGGAACTCTCAGCCCTTCACCCTTCCACCTCACTCTGCACTGTTCTTTAGTTCTAGAAGGACTCTGGAGGCCCTGCTTTTGCTCATATTCTTGGACTGCTGAGCTTTGCTGACAAACAAAACAAAACACAGATACGAATTGACTCCACTTTAATTTGATGCTCTGCGACATCCACTGCCTGCCCTCATACTGTGTGTCTATCTATTTGCTTATCTTTGTCTCATTCCTCGTAGCAGCTTTTCAGAACATTTCTACCTTATTTAAGGCCCCCAGCCCCACTCCTAAAAGATAAGGTAACTTCCTTCCTCTGTAAGAAGGTCCAGGCCCTCTTCAGATGTGAATTTTATCAACTACCCTCCTCTCTGCCTTGATATTTCCCTATCCATTTCCTCTTGGCTCAGAGTAAGGTATGCTTTGCTCCTCTCCACAACAAGCCCCTCCTCCTGAACTCAACATCAGCTACTCCAATGCCCTGCAATACCCTTTATCCTCTACCTAAGTCAAATATATATGCATGCATAATATATGTATATATGTCAGTATGCAAGCCTAATACATACATACATATATATATATATATATAATTTTAAAAAAATTTTTTTCTCCATCTGCCACCTAATCTCTCCTATGGTCACTACCAACCTTCTCATGAAGGTAGCTTCCACCAGCTGAACCTCTCAATTCATTCACCACACATAACTTTGTAATTTGGGGTCATCATTAACCTCTGTATCACCAAATCCCAAGGCCTCTGCATTCATACTTTTCCTCCTCAACATCTCTGTGACAGTGGTCCCTGTTGGCCATTTATTCCTCCTCAGTATTCTTTCAGTCACTGCTATCAATGCCACCAATTTCTCTTGGTTCTTCTAAGACCTTCCTGAATGATCCTTCTGAGACACCTTTGTTGGCTCTTTTTTCATTCACTCCTTAATTGTAAATGTTCTCAAAGACTCAATTCTTATTCATCTCTGCATGTATTTCTATATTATCAGGAGATTTTATTTACTTCTGTGGCTTCAATATCACCTGTAGGCTGATGACTCTCAAACCATAATATTATCTGTAATTTTTTTTTCCTGACTGCTAAATCCCAGTGTCTAGTTACCTTCTGGACAGCTTCATTTCTAATCTCAGCTTGTTCAAAACTGAATGTACCTTTTACTCACCAAACCTGTTCCTCAAACCTGTTAGAAAACACAGCAGTATCTTTGACTCCTCCTTATCTTTTACCTCGCATGGTCAAATAATCATCAAGATTACCAAGTGCTGTGAATTCACCTACTGAATCATGTATCTTATTAGGATCTTTCTTTCTCTTCCTATACTCTCATGGTCTCATATTCTCTTTTAAAAAACAATTTCAATCATCTTCTAAATGCTCTCCCCATGTACATTCATTCTTATGAAATCATCAACTTATTCAATATTTATTGAGTATATATTTTATGTCGCTAGATTATAAAATTCAAGAGTGCAGAATTCTACCTGTCTACTTCATGACTGTTCTCCAGAGCCCAGCAAAGTATTTGGCACAAAGAACACTCTAGACACTAGACGAATATTGTATTTGTTAATGAATGGGCAAAATATGCTATTCCCTCATCTTTGAAAATCCTACCACACTGTTGTCAGAATTATTTCCAAAAAAAGAGGCTGAACAATTTTTGCTTCCTTTCTCAAAAGGAAGTAAACTTTTCTCAAAAGGTGTAACCTTCTGTTACACCCGATGGATCCTTCCAACCAAAGAACAAAGCCCAAACTCTTTCAGTCTGTTTTCAGCCTACCTGTCCAGCTTTATCTACTAATATGTTTCTCCGCCTCTAAAACGGAGCATGCTGTTTCCTCGGCTAGCAGGAGGGAGGAGCTTATGGTTTTCTCATGTCTTTCCTGAGCAGGTACATGGCCCTGTGCTTGTGTGTGGCCTTCTAGTTTCCCAGAATTGTGTCAGAACTCTTCAAAATCCCTAGGGAAATCTTATTCCTCAACCATTTTTAAGGCTATTTTGGTTAGTTTTTGTTTGTTTGTTTGTTTCTCTCACCTATTATCCATTGCCTCAGGCAGCTGCGTGACAAATGCTACCCCATCCCTGGGGAGAGGCTCTTAGCACTGGGTTACCAAGAAAACAAGTCTTTTGAGTCAGGTCTTTCAGGGAACCACCAGACAGGCCAAATAATGGCAATTGTTAAAAAATGAAATTTGTTGGGCCCACTCCAGCACCTGGAATGAGGTTGTATGTTCAATATTACCTCTGAAGTAGAAGGGGTAAGGGGACGAGGATAAGTTAAAACAACATAAAGCTTGCTGTTCTTACCAAAACTGGAATATTTTTCTTCCATAAATTCTCCCTAAGGTGCTGCAAACCTTTGGCTATTTTGCAAAATTCTAAAAAAAAGTTGATTATGTCAAATTTTGCATTATTTCACTGATGTTGTTAAAAGGTAAATTTCTGGAGGTTATTATGCCACCATTTTCACTGATGTCACCCATTGCCACCTTCTTTGTGATACTTGCCAAGTTTCTCTCAAGAGAATTAACTACTAGGTCTCAGTTAGAAGTTAGTAAAAAATAAAATATATTTTCCCATCCAAGTTGACTCACCCTCTGAACTCTAGATACAAGTTACTTCCAGATCTATTAATCCTGGGTTTAAAACTCTGTCCTTGATTGATGTATGAAAGCTGAACAAGCAACACAGAACTTACCAGTGTCATGACAGAAGTGTTGAGACAGGTCCAAGTATGGAACTGAATGGCCTTTACTTACTTCCTCTTTCCCTAGGGCATTAAACTATTCACCCAAGGGTACAAGATCCCTTGAATCGGTTCCCTTTTCCTTGCAGACTCCTCAAAACTACTCAAGACCAAGACTGAGGCACCTACAACCATGAGACACCCCTTGAAAGGTGAGTTTTACTATTGTTTGAGGAAGTAGTAGAGGTCCAAAATGGTGTCATGGTAGCCAAGGAAGGAATCACAATGCCATTGAATGGCTAATAAACAGTCAATTGGTTCCTCAGCGAGAACATAGCAGTAAAGGAATGGAAACAAAACAAAGGTAACAGTGATGAATATATACTCTTTTTTTGTGAAAACTTCTGAGGCAAAAGGAAAGAGAGAGTTAGAATACTCCCATTGGAAATACAAAAAAGGAGAACACCAAATTCTATTCTGCTCCTAGTTTGACTTGTTGTGTGACTTTGGGTATATTACCTCCCCTCTATGGGACTTCTTCTCACTGCCCACACCTAAAGTAAGAAACAAGGATGCCTCATCTCATGGTACTAGTGGTTGATAACATGGCCAGGCACTCTGGAAAGTACAGCACAAATGGCCAGAGAAGGACTCCAACCTTTGCAACCATCTCTTACCTCTCAGCTTTTTGATAGAAGAGAGATCTCTGACCCTATTTTCTATATTCATAGCAACATCTACAGTGAAGCAATCCTGGGACTGGACCACTGACGTGGATGGCTACCTTGGAGCAACCAGTGCTGGGCCAGGTAAGAATATTGTCAGGATTTCTATCTTTTCTTCTTGACTCTAAGCTTTGTGACCAAAACTTTCCATTATGCACACTGTTCTACAGCACTGAACTCTGCAAGTCATTACCTGCTATGTGCCAAGCAATGGTCAAGGACACTGAGGATGGGTAAGGTGGGTGGGATGTAGAGAGAGAGATACAGATCCAGGGATGAGTGAAGTCAGAGTGAGGTTAAGGGAAGTGATAAATCTGTCCTTTATTTAGTTCTCTGTTGCCATAGTAATATACTTTCCAAACATTCTGAGCAAGAAATAGGGATAGGGACATTATGACATCATGACCTCAGCCAGGTAAGGATAATGGCAGAGCGTCATTGCTTGAGCTCTTAACCAGGGCTCTTCAAGCCACTTGAAGCTGATTTCTGATTCCTCCAAGGCCTTGAATATTCCCAAGTCAGGGTCTCAGAGAATCAAATCCCAGAAAAATCTTTGTGTTTCACCTGCATCTGATAGTCAGGTGGTGTGCATTGACATGACTACATTGACTGTTGAAATAATAGAACACTCTCACACCAGTTGATAATTAGCTGCTCCCCTTAACCCCTGAACCCTCCATTATTACCTGGGGCCGCCTTGTCCCATTCCTCAGAACTCTCTAGACCACTCCCATGGTCATGCAACAAAAGGTATACCAAAGAATCTCTAAGACTCCAAGTCTACAGTAGGCATCTGTTGTGATTGGTTGGAATTAAATAGTTTGATAACTATCACTCCTGGTACTCATTCTCTGCCTGTGTATAATTGAGAGTGGACTTCCAAATGTTCTTTGTACCTCTCCTTTCCTGATTGTAGAGCTTTTTGGCTATCTCTGGGCAGCACTCAAACCTGTTTTATGTGCCACATTTGCATTGCCATCTTTGGCTTCAAGACTTCCATAGCTCCATTCCTGTCCCAAAAGAACATCTATTGGGAGAATAGAAGTTAGAAAATGCCTCATAGGGAGTTGGTTTGGAAAAATGAGAAAATAACCTTGGGCAAAGTCAAAGTTCTTAGATATTAGGTCTGCACCCTATTTTCTCTACCAAGCTTTTAGGACTTGACTCTCTTCAAAAGAGAATATTTCTTCGATTTGTACCAGCTTATAACTTGAGTTCTCTCAGTTCCAACAAGACACTCTGAGGACCACAAATACTGGATTCCTAGGACACGATATCTTAGAGTCTCATGAAAACAAGCCAGTTGCAGCAACAAATCCTAAGTACACTGAGGTTCCTTTCCTTACACCTCTCTATCACCTGACCTAGCTTCTTAGATTCAGAATATTATAGCTAAAAGTGCATTAGACATCATTCAATCTTTTCATTGAACTTATGGGGCAACTAAGGCCTAGTAACAAAACTAAGTTTTGTCTAAGGTCACTGTATTCATTTTTCCATGGCTGCTGTAAAAACTTACCCAAACCTAGTATCTTAAAACAGCGTAAATATATTATCTTCCACTACTGGAAATAAGTCTGACACAATTATCATTGAGCTAAAATCAAAATATCAGTCAGCAAGGCTGTGTTCCTTTTGGAGGGTTTGGAGCAGAATTAATTTCCTTGTCTTTTCTGGCTTATAGAAGCTACCCACATTCTTTGGCTCATGGCCCCCTTCCTCCATTTTCAAAACTAACAATGTGGCATTCTCAAATCTCTATTCCTTTTTACTATGTAAACTAACATACTGACAGGTTCCAGGAATGTAGATGTGAATATCTTTAGAGGACCATTATTCTGCCTACCATAGTCATATAGCAAGTAAATAAGAGATCTAGGACTGGAAGCCCAGTTCAGTTGATTCTTTCAGCTTTTAAGCATAATGGGAGTATGTGTCTCAAGTGGCTCAGTGGAAATATGTTTTGATAAAGAAGGAAGCTGGGGACTTGACCAGAGAGTGTGATGGGAAGAATCTTTGTGGCTAGAAGTAACTGATCAGAATCTTAATAAGGTATGTAGCATTTTTGGTGAAGTTGGAAAGTCAGAATATTATTTTCTTTTTTCTAAAGGAAGGTGAAAACCTTCTGTCTTGGCCCTATAGAAAGCATGGACAACTAGCTCAAATGCCCAGGCCAATCAGCCCACCATTGAGTCTCTAAGAACCTATTTACACATGGCATCCTTTCTCAAGTTTTTCTCATGAGCCTGGAGTTTTTTCTCTCTGGCTAGCTAAGAAGGTTAGGAGAATATGGAAAATGAAAAAGAAAAAGGCTTGGCCTAGTCTGGGTTATTCCTTAGAGTTTTTGTTTCTGGCATTATTTTCAACCAAATACCACTTGATCTTGTTTTACCATCTAGGAAAGAGCCTGCCTATCTTTGCCATCATCCTCATCATCTCTTTGTGCTGTATGGTGGTTTTTACCATGGCCTATATCATGCTCTGTCGGAAGACATCCCAACAAGGTTAGTCATGAATATGAGAAGGTGGCTTTGGCTGATTTGTTCTTTCTGTCAGTATACTTGAGCCTAAATTCTGTATCAGGCATTGTGTTAGGCACTTCAAGAAGCTCCCAGCCTAGTTTGGGAGTGAAGGTGGGGGTGCAAGGAGACAGATGTTCAAGCAAACAATGGCATAAGACTTATAGAACTAAAAGCACTAGGCTTTGGTACTCAGTCAAGTACAGCCATCTTTCTAATGAGTCACCTTGTAATGATGCAAGAGAAAGAGAAGTCACAATCCCTGCCCTCGAGTTGCTTACAATTTATTTAGGAGATTCAAGGTAGAAACATGGAATTTATCAATAACAATATATAGCAATAGAGGCTCAAAAACTAGAGAAGATAATCAATGCTAAAGGGATCCAGAGGAGAAGAGAGTCATTTAAGGCTTGAGTAATTAGCAAGGGATTTCAGAAGGAATAATATCTTAGACCACATTTTGGAGGATGAAAACAATTTGTAAGGAGACAATATTTCAGGAAGAGAGAACTACATCAGCAAAGTTGTAAGGGCCTAAAAGACAACTGGGAGTGGGGTCATCAATAAAGAAAACTTCTGTAGATGGGCAACAGAGAAGTGCAGTGGGAAAGGAAAGTTTATTCCTGATTATAGAAGGCCTTAAATGCCAGGTTAAATAATTTGGACTTTCTTCACCAGGCCTTGCAAGGATACTAAAAATTACCAATTTTTTCAAGCATGGAAGTGGCATAATGACAGCACAGTTGTCAGGGCCATTTAAAAACTATGAACCAACCAAGGAGGAAAAAAACTTGGGATGCTTGTTTCTAAAAGGAAAACAAAAAACAAAAAACAAAAAAAAACTAGCTATCTCTAAATGCCCAGTGCACTAGTCATTTTGCCTAACATCAGTTTGTCTTATTCTCTGTACTATCTCCTACTCCAAAATAGCCTGGTTACTACCATGGGTCTGATGGATTTCCACCATCAGAAGGGAGCCTTGAATATCTCCTCCCAGGTTTTAATTATAAGCTCTGGCTTTTGCCAGTTAGCATGGCTATCACCATGAGGCTGAACTTGATAGCAGATGCCTCACATGACCACAAACCCCAGGGGCACTAAAATGAAAGTATTCTCATATAGTCTTGATGAGGCTAGGCATAAACGGTAACCACATTAAATTGTTTCTCTCTCAAAAACCTTCCATGGTTTCTTATGGCCCAGGGGATATAGATCAAAATGCAGCATTCTATTCCAGGCTCTCTGTGATGTGGCTCTAGCCAATTTTCTCAACACCCACCACTTCCTTATACCTAGTCTCATTTCCAAAAATTCCTCTTTCCTATCTTTCTATAAGGGAGACGGCCTCAGGGCATCAATTTAATTTAACATAATTACTGAGCACCTATTGTGTTACAGGTGCTGGGCATATTAAGATGAAAAAGTCACGACCCTTGCAGTACAGGTGCTCATAGGCCAATGGGGAAGGCAAGACACAGAAATGCAGGGCTCTACCATAAGGCAGAATTCCTGTGGTTTCTCTTGTTTACTTTGTTGTCATTTAATGCTTGAATTTCCAGTTGCATCCCCGAAAAATTATAAGCACCTAGAGGGCAGTACCAAGAAACATCTGTCTTTGCACTAACCTAAGCCTTTGAACCTGTACGGAATATAGGACACTCCTCCTCCACAGACTCTAGGGGGCAATAGTGACCAATACCATGGTTTTTCCTGGGTATATGGTGGGAATGAGTGCATTTGGGAGTGGCTTGGGTCATGGTCATCGGCATCAGGCTAATCCAGCCCCTTCTTCCTGGTATCCGGCCTTACAGTCAAGTTTCCCACAAGGACTCTCTGGGGATTCTTGGGGGAGATTCCTGGGTAAAGAGCAGGTCCAGTTCCAGTGCCCTCCCTAAACCCATACCCAGAAACTGCTCCAGCCCAATATCCTGAGTCCAAGATGACAAAAGGGATAGTGACCATATGTGCTTCCCCTTCCTTTACCTGATAAATTTGCATCTCTGTGTTTCAATTCATCTCCCCAATACCTACCAGGTGCTGGAAAGCTGAGACATATTAAAATCCCCTCCTCTGTACCCTTCCCTCATCTTTTGACTGGTACCCGGGATCCATGCTTGACCTTTGTCCACTTGCCCTGAAAACTTTTGACATGATTCCTCCTTCTTTTCTAGAGCATGTCTATGAAGCGGCCAGGTAAGAAAGCCTCTCCTCTTCCATTTTTACCCGTCCTTGCCCTCAATTTTGATTACTGGCAGGAAACATGGAGGAAGGGGGGTGTGGCACAGACCCAGTCCTAAGGCCAGAGGCCTTCAGAGTCAGGACATAGCTGTCTTCCCTCTCTCAGGCACCTCCTGAGGTTGTTGTGGCCCCCTGAACACAAAGGATAATTTAGATCCATCTGCCTTCTGCTTCCAGAATCCCTGGGTGGCAGGATCCTGCGAATTAATTGGCAAGAATTCAGGCAGAAGGGTGGGAAACCAGGACACCAGCCCCAAGCCCCTTCTTATGGGTGGTGGGCTCTTGGGCCATAGGGTACATGCCAGAGAGGCCAACGACTCTGGAGATACCATGAGGGTGGCCATCTTCGCAAGTGGCTGCCCCAGTGATGAACCAGCTTCTCAGAATCTGGGCAACAACTACTCTGATGAGCCCTGCATAGGACAGGAGTACCAGATCATCGCCCAGATCAATGGCGACTACGCCCGCCTACTGGACACAGTTCCTCTGGATTATGAGTTTCTGGCCACTGAGGGCAAGACTGCCTGTTAAAAATGCCCCACTAGGCCAGGATCTGCTGACATAATTGTCTATTCAGTCCTTGCCTTCTGCATGGCCTTCTTCCCTGCTACATATCTTCCTGGGTAGCCCAAAGTGTCTGCCCTGCCAACACTGGGGCCCCTGGGAGTCACTGGCTTTGCCTTAGAATTTGCCAGATGCATCTCAAGTAAGCCAGCTGCTGGATTTGGCCCTGTGCCCTTCTAGTATCTCTGCTGGGGGCTTCTGGTACTCCTCTCTAAATACCAGAAGGAAGATGCCCATAGCACTGGGACTTGGTCATCATGCCTACAGACACTATTCAACTTTGGCATCTTGCCACCAGAAGACCAGAGGGAGGCTCAGCTCTGCCAGCTCAGAGGACCAACTGTATCCAGGATCATTTCTCTTTCTTCAGGGCCAGACAGCTTTTAATTGAAATTGTCATTTCACAGACCAGGGTTCAGTTCTGCTCCTACACTGTAAGTCTAATGTTCTGACTCTCTTCTGGTGCTCAATAAATAATCATAACAGCAACTTCAGTCATGTTGGTCTTCTCTCACAGTATGATAGGAACTACTAAAAGTAATTAAAGTGAGACTAGTTAAGAAGTCTGGGGCCCCTGAGAGTATGGATGTCACTTTTGCTTTTTTGGTCTTTTCCCTTCCCACACATGCCACTCCTACTTCACTCCACTGGTAAGTCCAGCTGGAGCACAGTGAATACCTGATTAAACAGTACTCCCCTGGCTTCCCTTACCCAACATGTCATCCTGCCAGGTCCACCTGGATGATTCTTCCCACATCAACTGGAAGCCTGAGAAAGAAAAAGTCCTGGGCTGGGCGCGGTGGCTCACACCTGCAATCCCAGCACTTTGGGAGGCCAAGGAGGGCAGATCACGAGGTCAGGAGATCGATACCATCCTGGCTAACACGGCGAAACCCCGTCTCTACTAAAAGTACAAAAAAATCAGCCGGGCGTGGTGGCGGGCGCCTGTAGTCCCAGCCACTTGGGACACTGAGGCAGGAGAATGGCTTGAACCCGGGAGGCGGAGCTTGCAGTGAACTGAGATCGCGCCACTGCACTCCAGCCTGGGCCACAGAGCGAGACTCTGCCTCAGAAAAAAGAAAAAAGAAAAAAAAGAAAATAAAAAGTCTTTCTGTCTCAGGGGACTATGAATGCAGAGACGAAGGGATTTCCTTCTTTCCAAAGTATGGATGCACCACTTCCACTTCTTTGAAGCTTAAAATTTTGGGGGTAGTTGCATTTTTCACAGGTTATCTGCTTTAGCTCCTGTCCCCTTCTTACAATGTGAGGTGGGGATAAGAGCAAGAAAGACTTTCTCTTCAAGGAGGAATAGGGCTAGGAAGTGTGTGTGTGTGTGTGTGTGTGTGTGTGTGTGAGAGAGAGAGAGAGAGAGAGAGAGAGAGAGTTTGTATGTGTACATAAGTTCCTACACCTACACTTTTAAATCAGGCTCCCCTGTGAGGAGGACCTGTTCTGACCCAGGTCGACATAGCTTTGTTTTCTCCGTGTGATTAATGTCAAATCAACTTCTGCACTCTTCAAGGAAGTTGCCATGTTGCTACTTCTGGTTCCCACGCAGCCCCTAGGTCAGTTCATGTTTCACAAGGAGTTGCTCCCCTTTTGCGATGATTACAGAAATCAAAATAGTACACAAAAGTAACAGAAAGGAGTCCTCCACTTCACCACCCAACATACTAAATCCATGGTAAAACCTCAACATTTTCTTCATTCCAGACGCTAGCTTCTCCTAGTTGGCAAAAGGAACAACTCTTTCTTCCCTGTCGTGCTTACAAGCCTCTGAAATAGGGTCTCCACCCAGTGGAAACCTCAACTTCCTTCATGAAACAACTTTGTGTCCAGACCCTATAGCCTTTGAAAATAACCATTATCTTTCCCTACTACCCATAGAAAAATGAGTTCCAGGTGTTGGAAAGAGAATCCTGGTTGCATTTTCACCGGTAAAAGGAGCCACACATCCAGGGATGCTTCTCCATAAGAGCTAAGGATTCCCAGGGATATCTCAGTCATTCGTCTTAAAGAGCCTAGAGATTACTGATTCTAATACTCCCTTATTAAAGATGAGAAAATGAAGCTCAGAGAGGAACAAAAACACAGTTAGTGGTAGAACGGAGACCAAAGGTCAGGCCTGTGAACTCCTCAGTGCATGTATTTATTGCAGCATCTGGATCACCTTTGCTTCAAAACTGAGAATTTTTTTAAATACAGGACAAGCTAGTAAAGAATTCCTATGTAATAGAGATAGTCCACAGCTGCAGGATAGGCTAAACAAAAATCAGGTGGGGACCTTTCTTAGGCAGATGGCTGGTTGGGGAAAGTAGATGAGTGAAAAGAGGAAAAGATCTCCAGAAGATAGGGAAGGTATAAAGTTTCTCTATGACAGTTTCCCAAATCATGCTTCATTGGACATTGACACAGGAGAAGGCCTGTGGGAGAAAAGAAATTCATGATCAGATAGGTGTGGCAAAGGCCTCATTCTATAGTTTCCTCTTTGAGTTTCTCAATGCAACGTTAGACTATTAAAGGCTCTGAAAAATCCTACAAGAAAGCACCTGTATAACTCTGTGTAATCAAGTAATACCAAAATTTATTTGCTCTCTGAGTCTGCTATTTTGCCTTCTTCCTCCAGCACTTGACACTGTTTCTCAGGAATAAAAAAATCCTTCATGCTGGCTACTACCTCATATGCTCTATAACATTGCGGTGTTCACAGTTTGATTTTTTTTCAAAATCCAGAGTACAATTTGGCCCCAAAGCCTAAACCCAAAGCTAGTGGACTAGAGGAAAGCCAGTCAATCGGTAAATGTTTATTATTTTCTGTAACTAAAGTACTGGGTTTTGGTAGGGATGACAGCAATCAAAGACATAGCCTTGTCTTCTAGAAGCTCACAATCTAGTTGGGAATTCAAGAAAACCCCCTAGAAAAGTTCACTGACAATTCAAGAGTTGTCAGTTGTCACTGACAATTCAAGAGGGCAATTCTCTCCTACTGCTGTTAGACAGTAGGAGAGAAAGGGGCACATACCAGGGCCCAGGCAAGAAGTGCTTTGTGAATGAAGAAGGAAAAAGTATAAGTTGACTTTCAAAAGTCTTTGGAAACACTGGACTTTAGCTGATACAGGAAATATAGGGAAGAACTGGATAGGCAGAAATAAACGGAGAAAGGGTTCCTAGAGGAAAAGACTTGTGGAAAAGGGAAGAGGTAGGCAAGATCAAGGAGTATTTAGAAGGCAAGACTGAGTGTCAAGAAAGTGAATTTCTAACCCCTGCTTACTCACATAAACCGTGATGCTTGTGTGAGAATTCTGATGTCCTACATGGGAGACTCTGGGAGGGGAATGTGAAGGAAGAAAATAATAAAGAATCAAAGGGCACTTCCATTCTTGAACCCATTATACATTTTCAAGCCTATTGCACCACCATCAGCACTCTCATGGTGTGTGTAGACTCAGTCCAGGGCTGTATTTCCCAGAGATGCTACACTTTTTCTCTGGTGTCCTCAGAAAAAAATGCCTCAGTTCCTGCAGAGTCACATAAAATAACTTGTGAGAACTTGGTGCTTGGTGAGCATCCTTGTATCCAGCTGGCAGTCCATTCGTCATATGCCATCTGCCCTGGCCTGGAGCTGGTAAGCATATGCCGCACTTGGGGTATTTGACAAACTGACACTCTACCACACGGAGTGTCCAACTCAGCTTGTCAAATACACGGAGCGTGGCACTGCAGGAGGCCGGGCCAGGAGATTCTGTGGGGAAGTGAGATCTTCCTGGGAGATATGACCCTAGAGGGAAAGAGAGAGAAAGGAGTGATGAAGTCACACCCTTAGCCCCAGGGAGCTTGCTGAAAGAACCAGACAAAGCACCAGAATACGAAAGTGAGCAAAACAGGCATAAGGTTCCTAACCAGAAGAGAGATCCTGAGGATAAGCAGGTAAAGCCCAAGTGACACCCGGTGCTCAGCTGGAAGCTCATCAGGCCTGAATCCTATAGCTATGGCATTTCTAGGGGTCCCAAGCTTCAGTGGGTTCCTCTATGCAGCAAAGAGGGGAAAATTTGGTCATCATCCTGCCTCCCTGACTTGAGGAAAGTACCAGACCCCAGAGACAGCATCCTTGCTCACTCTTCTCAATTCTCCCAAGCTGTGTTTTCACAGTGTTGTGGTTATGCACATAGGCTTTGAGGTTAAACGTGAGCTTAAATCCTAGTTCTTCCATTAGCTAGCTAGGCAACCTTCGATCAATCATTTCACCTCTGTGAGTTCAAGTTTGCTACACCCACAAAATGTATTAAGTATAGTACCTACCTCATAAGATTATTGTGAGAATGACAGGAGATAATGCATGTAAAGCCTTTGGTTCAGTATTCAATACATAAAAAATGCTCAAAAAGCAGTGGTTGTACCACTGAAATGAAAGAAAGAGCTATTGGCAATTGATTTAGCAGGATCTGGACAGGTGTGACATTGATTTCTTGTAGTCTCAGCCTTGCCTAACTTGATCCTCTTGTCCCATAGGGACTCAAGAATGGCAGCTATTAAAGTGCCCTTAAAGATCATCTAGTCTCACTCACTTAGGTTATAAATGAGAGAACAAAGGTTCATGTTGGGGAGGAGACTTGTAAAGTTTACGCAATAAGTTTTTTACAGTTCAGCAGTATGCCTTATACAGCTTTCCTCATTGGTTATTTTGCCTCCCTTCTCTGTATATCCCTCTAGGAAAGGCGAGACACATCAACAAAGAGGGCAAAAACAGGCAATAGCTTTGCAATGCAGCATTTGGGATCAGTGAACCCACAAGCCACCAGGGCAATAAGGAAGCTGCCAGGAGCAGGGTCAGGTCTGAGACTTCTGGGAGAATTCCCTTGGCAACAATCAGATCCTGTTGCTAAAAATGCCAGGCTGCTGGTATCAAATTACTGCCCTTACCAGCTATGGCAGTTGATCTGTGAGCAGGTAGCTGGTCTACATTAAATATTGTCATGAAAAGTTGCAAACTTCCCAAGGTTACCAGAAATGGTAAACTGTCCCCATGAAGCCGGAAAGCCTTGTCCCAGCCAAGGCAAGACAGAGGGATTCAGCCTTGTCTTTCAGCAAGAAAACACTGTATTTTTTCTTGCTCATTTCTTTTAATTGAATGTAAGGGTGTAACATACCCCTTCAATTTAAGTTCTGGCAGTAATCTCAAAACTAAAGCTCTTTCACCCCCTCACTTCCTTTTCTACCTACCCAATTCAGCCTAAGCCAACCAGCAGCAAAAGCAGCAGTCATGGTCACCAGATATGCCATGAAAGAATCAGACAAACTTGTGTTCTAATGCTGTCTTGGCCATCAACTAGTCAATCATGGCTTTGGCAAGTCTTTCTTTGGGCTTCAGTTGTCTTCTCTGGAAATGGGGACAAGAAGACTTACCTGGCAAAGTTGTTGGAAAATGTTGCTAAGCTTTCCAGAGCCTCCCACATAGAAGCTCAAAAGGACCCTTGTCTCAGCTCCTGGACCTGTGATTGGAGGCCAGCCAAGCATGCTGATTAACAGAGTCTAAGTTGGGGATGGCAGGGAAGAAAGAAATGGATTGTTACCTTTTTTGTATCATTACCCTCATTGGCTGCCAGCTCCAGTAAGAAGACCTATATAAGGTGGAGGTGTTCACAGCCTTTTGAATGCCCTTTCTGACTTTATTCACCTCCAGAAACCCTGGAAAGGAGGCATGAAAGGGGCAAAAAATTATTAGTACTTTGAAATTTGGAAAGCCTTATAGACAATATTGCTCCAGTAGTAATGGAAGGAGTTAGTAGCTGAGCTGAAACTAAACTGATTTCATTTCCACTCTTGCTGTTCTAGTCAATGCCTCTCCAATGGAGTGTGTGTAAGAAAATCAGATTCAGTTGAGAAATGTTCACCAGACCCATAGAAAGAAGAGATAAATGTCTATGTGGGATGATATTAAGGGAATTTGAAAGCTCTTCTCTTCGGCAGATATTACTTAGAATAACATCATTTTTCCCCATATGAAATGCAAAATCCTCTATTGAAGAGCTTCACCAAGCCTCTATTGTTGACACAAAGGGTGGGTCAGTTTTTATGGAAGGAATTGGAGGGAATAGACCAGAAGAACGAGGGGTAAGTAGGTGTCTAGGAATCTCTGAACACTCAGAGAGAACCAAGTACCTGAAAGAAAAATAGAAGAAAAGAAGAAGTCTTCAGGACCATGCCTAAAACTTCCAGACTGCCTCTAGTATGAGAAGGCCCAACTGGGTCAGTTACAGGACAGGTCCTGCTGCTTGATGTCTCAGTCCTCCTAGGATAGAGCAGAAAGAGGACTGATCTGGGAGCCACCCAGCTCTGCTACAGATTCGCTGTATGACTTTGGGCAAGTCCTTTTCTTCCTCTTTCTGGACCTCAGTTTTTTCCATAAGTACCTAGTCCCTAAGAGCCTTTCAATTTTGAACTTTTAGGAGTCAAAGATTGGACTAGAAAGAGGCTTTCATCTTCGAGTCATGCCTCTCAGAGAGTGCTATATGGATTACCACCAGCACTCTCCTCTTGGATGTGTTCAGTCCCCCCGCCCCACAGTTACATATGCAAAGATTACACTCATCTTCTTTCTTGACAGAGGGCTGACAATCATGAAAATAAGGAATCTAATAACTATGAGTCTCTAGACAGCATTTATCTAATCATTCTTTTCCTCTTTTTAATTTTTTATTTTGCAAAAGGGGTGAAAAAAACTGTGTCCTAGATTGGAGAAAGGACTTAAACAAAGATACACATTGGGTAAATGGTAAAATCAGGACTGCTACTAAGATTTCCCGACTCCTGGGTCCAAAGAACATTCCATTTCCATGTGACTGTCTCCTAAACACCCTATTGTATAGAAAATATCCTATCCCCTTTTCCCCTCTACTAGAAGCTCTAGAATAAAAGGTCAGTGGAAACCTTCTTCCTCCCACCTTTGACCTTGATTCCTGAGGAGGGCCTGAAAAGAATGGGATGGGCAGATCCAAGCCACCCTTGGCTGCCATGGACACTGCCCCAGCTTGGGAATCCAAGAAGAGAGGGCAAATGGATACCATACCTGTCAGTGGAGTGGTGCCTTGGTCATGGAGGGGACACTGATTCCCCAGTGCTGAGCCAACCTGCAGGGGCCAGAGGGAATTGGGCTTTATGCCGTGAGCAAGAAGCTTGTGTGTTTTGAAGGGCCCTTGGTGTCTTCAACAGGAAACAGAAATGAGGAAGATAAGACTGAGGTTAGCCAACGGAAATCTGGGTGCAAAATGACAAAACAATGCTGTTGTGAAAGGGTCTGCTACTGCAGCAATAGTAGCAGGCCACTGCCCTGCCTCCACCAACTCCCAGCTGACCTTCAACAGACAATAACTTTCCAAGCTGCAGAGAGAGACAGTAGAAAGCACCTGACTGCCCTAGGCTCTGCCTGTGGATCAAGGAGGTTTTCCCAGAATAATTGAGGGAAATCTGGAATGCCAGAACTGAGACATTATCTAATGAAAAAACCCGTAGTCAAAATTGAGAAATGGAGCCCCTAAGGGATAAAAGGAAATGCCCAGAATCACAAAGCAAATTAGCGGCAAAGCTGAAATTTAAACCCATCCCTATGGACTCCAAATCACGTGTTTTTTCACTCTGTCAGAATACCTCCTGGTCCTGGAATACCATTTTATTTCCAACATCTCTCCTGGCATATAGAACCAGCTACATAGTTTGCAAGGTGCAGTAAAACATGAAAATGATAGGGTCCTTATTTAAAACTTAAGAATATCAAGATGATGACAGCAGAACATTAAACTAAGTGTGGGGTCCTGCTAAGCATGGAGCCCTGTGAAGCTGTACAGGTCATATGCCTATGAAGCTGGCCCTGGGGCACAGCTATGACCACAAGCCACATTCTGTCATCTTGGGGCTTGCAGAAGGAAATAAATAAGGAAATTTACAATTATTAGAGTACTTATGATATTCTTTTATGTGTATTATCTAATTTATTCAACTACTTTCTGGTATGGTATTATTATTCTTATTTATAGGTGAGGAAACTGAGGCACACAGAAATAAAGTGAGTTGTCTAAGGAAACAAAACTAGAAAATAATAGAGAAGGCAGATTTTTCACTCAGGTCTAACTCCAAATGTTGAGGTTTTCTTCTACTTTCCCACACTGGCTACAAGGAAGGGAGAAGAAAATAGTTGACTTTGAGAAAGAAAAGATAGTGCCAGATCCCTAAGTTCAACTGTGACCTTCAGGCTAATGAGGGACATGAAAAGTGTGAAAAGAGGGTGAGTGGTTTCCTAGTGCCTCATGTTTGCAGTCTCCAGGAAGTCCCCATTAACAGCCAGGAAGATGACAAATTCCCACCATGCAGTGCCCTCCACCATGAATCTTGATGGCATGAAGGATGGGAGGGGCAATGTTTTCAGGGTATACTTTGACAGCTTTCAATGACTGCAGTGCCCTGCACAGTCCTCTGTCTACACTAGTGGAAGTATGACCCTGAGTGGTACTCAAGCTGTGGTAAATAATCTTTCCAAGCTACATACATTCTTATAAATTCAGGTTCAAAGAAAGACCACATCCTGTGAGCCAAGAGCCCTGGGCCCCAGTCCCTACTCTACTACCTCCTGGGGCATTAGTTTCTCCTTTAACCAACAGAGGTTGGACTAAATGGTCTTGGAGATCACTCCAACTCAAACATTCCCTGGTTCCTTTGTGGCTCTTCGTTACTCACTCTGGGCTTCCCCGTGGTTGTAGGACCTGAGGCTCTGTGGAAGCCTGAGATAGGGATTCACTTGCACTAACATCACTCTGTAGAAAACTTCCTTCTATCAGAATAATTTATTGGCTCAGGCCTCAAGATCCCAGATCTAGCTTCTAGAAAGATTCAGTTCTTGTTTCTTTTTGGTTTCTGACTAAAGCTTGGAGCAGAAGTAGGGTGGTCCTGTGGGCACTTTGCTAAAAAGGGACCCCCTTCTTCCTATGCACACCATGGAGATTAAGTTTAGCTACACATGTTTTTTTTCTCCCCTATCAATCAGAGTACTCTACAGGCCTTTTAACAGGGGTTTCTGGAGACAATGTGTTTACCTAAAGTAGTGATTAATGGTATCCATTTTGAGCCCAACAACAGGGCAATAAAAGAGAGCATTAGGAACCAGAAGGCTCTGAAAATCATACCACCTATGCATAGGGCCTGAATGAGAGAAAAGGGAACTGGGCTCAGAGTTCCTCTTTAGCCCACAAACACAAACTATGCTGGGAAGGGCCAAATTTCCAATAACAGCACAAAGGAGCTTCTTCTTTTTGATCTGTTGTCCAGGCTTCTGCGGAGAGTAACCAAAAGTCACAAAGTATTCCCATTTTGTATGATTTCTGCCTTGCCTGTGCCTGTGGAGGGAGATGAGAAAGAAGGGAAAATAGTTGACAAGGGGAGCAAGCAGGCAGTGCTGGGGTCCCACACTGTAGACACACTCATTTGTTTCCTCAGTACTGGAATGGAAAGAACACTGAATTAGAGTCCTTGCATCTTAGACCCTAGGTTATAGACCAAGCTCTGTAACTCATTAATTATGTGACCTTAAACAAACATACACAGCCTGTCTGAGTCTTAGTCCCCACATCAGATTGAAGGATTCTCAGGCTAAAGGGAAATGGAAGACAGGTGTGCACCCCAAGAGCTATGTTACCCTACAGAATATGATAAGTAATTTGACAAAGGCATGAAGTGCTATCAGATATGTATATAAGATTCTCCCAGGGCAGAAGATGAGGAGGTGATGGTAACTGGAAAGGTTCTCAGAAGAGTAGGATTTGGGCTCCATCTTAAAGGATAGAGAGGAAAAAATGATGCGCACTGTCTCTGGAAAGCCTTCTCTGACAACCACCTGCAAATTTAGTTGCTTCCCACCTTGCCCTCCTCTACTCTTGAAAAACATTCACACTGCACTTAGGTGTCAGTCTCTCCAAGAAGACCAAGCACTCCCCAAAGTAGGAACTATGCTTGACCTTTACTGTCTTCTTAGGCCTAGGAATAAACTACTTATCCCAGAACTGTCAGGTGAATAAGTGAATGAGTTAATGCATAAGCAAAAGAAAGAGACCTCATAGCCCAATGTCTCCACATTGCTTAGCTTACCCTACCTTCATGAAGGAGCTGAGAAGCCCCCATCCTTCACTTTGAGTTTATCTTTCCCCCCACTTCCTTTCAGAAGACTTTCAAGAAGAGGCCCTAGGGAAAATTGCAAAGCTAAGGCCACTTCCTGTGCAAGTGGCTGGTGTCCACACACTCTACCTCAACCCTGGTGATTGCTATGCATAGGATTGCATCAGGGTTTTCTCTGAAAGGAAATACAAAGGCTGGTGCAATGTGTAGGGCACCCGCAGGCCAGGACTAAATAACTTTTTGTACACCTAGGCCTGGGGACAGAGGTTTCACTGTGAGGCTCCCACAAAACAGTGATATTGACAAGATAAATGGCAACAATTAACCCAATAACTACAGCTTAACTATATTCAGCAAGGGTGTGTTGAGCCCCTACTGGCTACAAAGCTCTATGCTTGGCAAAAGGGGGAAAAAAATAAACATACAACAGGACAGAAATGTACAACAATCTAACATAAATGTAATGTGAGCCACAATTATTAAAATAATCACATTAAAATTTTTTAATAAGCAAAACTAATTTTAATAACATATTTTATTTAGCTCAATACATCCACAATGTTATTTCAACCTGTAAACAATGTAAGCATTTATTAATAAGATATTTTACATTATTTGAAATGTAGTATGTATTTTATACAAACAGTACATCTCAATTTGAACTTGCCATGTTTCTAGTGTTAAATTGCCACATGTGGCTAGTGACTACCGTATTGACCAAAACAGGTACAAGACATGTTCTCTACCCTCTAGGAATTCACAGTCTAGTCCAGAAACCAGAATGCTACATAAGCATGTTCAAAAAATGAGTACAATAGTGGAGGTGCATATCTGGAAAAGAGAACTGCACTAAGAGTCAGGAGATCTGGGCTACATTCTTTTCTCTGCCACTAATTCTCTGTGTGACCTTGAGCAAATCCCTCTCCCTTTCTGGGCCTCCATATTTCCATCTCTACAATAAGTCTGATTAAATTTATTCATGAAACAAATATATGTTGAATGTTTTCTTAGTGTCAGGCATGGTGCAATGTAGTCAAGATGCAGAAGTAAACAAGACATATAAAACGCCTGCCTTCTTGACATATACAGTGCGGTGGAAAATAGCCATTAAACAAATTTTTTAAACATGTCAAGAAAGGGGGAAGATCAGAGAGGAGGGAGAACACAAAACAGGATAGCATAATCCACCAGACTTGGATAGGTCAAGAAAACTTCTCAAAGGAAGTAACTTTTAATGTGAGACTGAAAAATAAAAAGTAGTGAGCCAAGTGGATAATAGGTACAAGGCAGTTCCAAGCAGAAGAAGCAACATGTATAAAGGTTCTGAGATGGAGAATAATGTGGCATATTCCAAGAAGATAAAAGGCTGGTATGGCTTGAAAAAGAGTGAGCAAAAGGAAAAAAAAAAAAACAGCATAAAGCAAGTAGAAGAGATAAGCAGGGGGCCAAACTAAGAAAGGCCTTGTATGCTAGGTTGGGCATTTGAGACATGAGAAGCCAGAAAGTGTATATAGGTGACTAGGTGACGCAGTGCCTTTCTATATTCAAGCCTAGGAATTTAGGGGTCCAGACCATGGCAACAAAGATGAAAAAAAAGTTAATTCCAACTGGTTGGATTAGAGACTTCACAGAAGAGGCCAAATTTTAAAAGAGCCTTTAAGGATAACAGGATCAATAATCAGAGAAAGGCATTTCAGGCAGAGGAAAGGACCCAAGTAAAGGTGCAGAGATAGGAAAGAATATGGTGAGCTTGTGTGAATAGGTAGACTACCAATGCAAAATGGCAAATATAAGCCTAGGAGTATTTTTAGTATTTTTGAGTATCTATAGACATAGTAGAATAATAGTAGCCCAAAGGCCTATCCAACACACCAAATGTGCTCTGGAGGAAACCTGGCAAAGACCTTGGATCTATCAAGAGATCCATTTTGTACTGGAATAACAATAATTAGCAAGTATTGTAAGCTTACTAAGTACTAGGCACTGTTTGAAGCCCTTTACATATGTTAGCTTATGTAATCCTAGCAACAACCTTATGAGG